CATGGCCTTTTCATCAAATGATGCAATGTGACTTGACAACAAGAAGATTGACAAGAACAACAAGACATTACTTGATTTACGGACCAAGTGTGTCAGTGAACCCGATACATCACAAGAAACAAAGCGAGGGAACATGAACAGCATGCCTGTCACTCACACTGCAATAGGCCAAAGCAACAATGGTAAGAGAAATATTTGGGGAAATGAAAACTGTGTTTAGAAATATTTTCTCTCAGCTAATTCAAAAAGTATGTTAATAACAATGAAGAGAAGAAACAAAAAGGAATGCTTTTGACAATTGTAAGGTTCGCCGTTTAATTTCAGTCCGTCGTTGAGAGAAGGTGCTAGGCGTTTAATTCAATATGCCTCCCTGAACAGCAGACCGAGATCCAGCAAAGAAATTTAAAAAAAAACTAGCTAGGGTTTCAGACATTCCCGATAATGCCGTCCCATTCGCCTCTGGAAACTTCCAGAAAGTCAAACAGGAATATTTGGCTGGATGACAGGCGCTCCTATTCTCATAGTACGCTTTGGTCACCCGTGGTTTAACGATGTCGGTAAAGGTAGACTAAAAGGCCTACAAAACCACCTCCTTACCATTTAATCGTAAGAGGATATTATAAAATAGCGCGCGCGCTGGTCTTACCTACTTCTTTTTTCAGCCATCATTGCAAAATTTGCAGTTTCATTTTAGCTGCACAATTTCCGTAGAGTTTAGCTTCGAGTTCCTTTTGTTAAGGTTTTGGCAATGTGAGCTTTATTCTGAACAATCCTATCCCTTCTTCGAGCCTCTGACTTTCGCCAAGCTAAGATGATTACTAAAACGTAAGTATTTTGACTTTGTTTGTCTACATTTTCATTAATTTGAAGAAGCGAATTAATAAATTGACAATTTTTGGAACCTGGTGAAGCGTTTTCTTTCAACTGTCGCTCATTAACTGTTAGTACCGTGTTTTTTACTAGGCAATAGGATCCTTTGTTTTCCTTCACCTTGTGAGAGCTTTGTAGTCAATCACAAATCAAACATGTTTTAGTGCCCAAGTTATTGTTGCTATGTTATAAAATAATTGGTTCATGCTTAGCGCACGTATATCGAGTTATGGACGCATGCGGGACGTTTGGAGAGCATGCACTCAAGCTATAGTGACGAAGCAAAAAGCGGGAATACTAATGGAAAAAGGTTAATTTCTCTGTTGGATTTCAGTTCGTCGTTGAGAAAGGTGCAGGCGTTTGCTATGTTATGCCTTTCTGAACAACGGACTGAAACCCAGCTTGCCTTTTCTCGTGAAACTTTCCAAAATTCGGGTATTGCTTGTCAAATCAGGCATAGCAAACGTACGTAATGTATTGCCCTGCAGCCTTGTTTAGGTTAACCACACAGCTTTTCGGACTAATCAGTTTACACTGTACTCTGAGGTTCCAGTTAGCCCTATTTTCGTACTTTAGTTTATTGTATTTTCTTGAAGCAAGCAAATGTTTCTTGTTACGTTGAGAAGCTGTTTTGGCAATTTGATCATCATCTGATTTTTTTACAGAATTTTAAATTCCTTCCCTTTCGGACTACTCATGAAGCGCCATAAAAAAGGCGAAATTTAAAGGAAAATATC